TAATGTTTTGTCGAGGTTGTCACCAAAACCGTCGGTCAAAAGCATTTTTTGCACTGAGTGTCGCGTGAAAATAAACATTGTTGTCGCCGACGTCACCTACCAAGTCGACAAGTTTTACCACCCCCTGCATTGATCAGTCGTTATGTGCCCTGCCCATCCACAGATCACCTCCACCTAAAGAGTGGCAGTTCAACATTTTTTGCGTTGTCACGGTGCCACCGTCTGTCACCCAGTCGCCGCCGATGACAATTTTAATAAAAACGACGACCCCTGCACGTTCATTCATGCATTCATTCATTCGTTCCTTTATTTATTCGTTGCGACGGAAAAGATGAGGCATAGCGACGATCAAATGCGTTACCCGAACTCCTCGCGTTATGAAATGTCTAAGAAATGGCACATATCGAGTGAAGATTGATTTGCAATGAGTGCGATAAGTGGCCCCAAGAAATGCAGCAACTTTCAGCGAGGCTTATTACTATGGCGAGCCAGCACCCCGACTGGGGCTTTGCCGGGGGTGTGGTTTGGAGACATTAAAGAGTCTGACAGCACAAAAACATTGCAGTAGCAATGACAAGTGACAGTGATGAATGTTCTGAGGTCTGGAATTTGCAGTAGCAGCAAGATGGATCTTCTTGAACTTTTGCAATGCACAATAACGCTTGTGCCGCAGTGGAAATCAGGGGAGCAAGATTTGATAGCTGGACAACCGTTGGTTTATCTTAGTGAACAGGGCGTGGTGTGATTACAGATGAATGTCTCGAGTGATGTTCCAGGATCATTTCTTTTCACAGCTTTGTTGTGCCTCATCAGCTTGACTCGCAGCCAGGTAGCGCGAAACAAAACATGCGCCGTGGCAACGTTTATTTCAAGTTAGAATTAATGCTACCCCCATGAAATGACGATTGAATTTCGAAACAGATGAAATGGTGTTCTTCAGCCACTAGCCACACAACATGCAACAGCCACCTCGGCGCACGTACTCGGATAAAGAGGGCGAGGCAGGGATGGGCTGTAAACCACCGATTTCCGTCAAGACTATGGGCGATTCAACCCATGATGCTGCAAGGAAGACTGGCTTTCAGAGTAAGTGCGCTTCTCATAGCCCACCTACTTCTCTGCTAGTCAGCAGACCTTAGTCGGTTCCCGTCAAGCATACCGACAAGAGGTCAGGTCGGCCACGCAGTCCCATGAATGATGGTGAATGCATTCCGAAAATCGTTGACACAAATCGTTCGTGTAATCTCCGCCACTTAGCGAAACAAGCCCGCATACACTTGTGGGCACTAAGACGCCAGATCTTAGTGCTCATTACATCCGTGATACTAATGTCTCGTCTCAGTCATTCCGCAAAACTACGGGGGATGTCACATCATGAGGGGCTCTATGCCAGCCTTTGTGCAAAAATTAACATTATAGCCTCTCTACGTGAGTTAAGTCCCTACGGTGGGCAGCATCTCTGGCTGTACCCTTTTGAAAGTGAGCATTAACTTAAGCTTCGGATTAGAACTCAAGGTGGATTCAAGAGCGCGCTGGAATCCATGATAACATATATGTTATGACAAATGATATATTTATTATTCATGCACATTAACATAATAATATATATACTACATAGCACACCATAATAACACACATTAACAAATAATAATATAAATATATCAAATAGTTTACTCAACAGGCAGCCAGTACCTGAAATTTGGTTGCTCTTGGGGGCGAGAACAAAAATTTTAAGGTCACGGCTTCTAGTGAGAGCAAAATAGCCCGGTTGAATTTGCACTGCATTCACAGCTGGCACTTAATGACGTTCTTTGACAGCAGATGATAGTAAACACCATGCTCTAGTTGGTCTCAGTGATTGCCAAATAATATAAGAGGTTGGCTGCTTGCAATTCTTAAATTGTCCAGCTTCCTAAGTAAGTGCTTCTTTCCTGAGTCCATGCTCACACACACTATTTTTTGAAGCTATAGAGCTGATAGAAAGTTGTCGATATTGATGATTCGATTGTGAAGGTGTCGGTCTCCATTTATGCTGGTAGAAACACGTGCTTAAAGTGTTGTGCAACTGTTGCACCATTCCCCAGAGCGCGTTACGACATGTTAATGATTTAAATGTCATGCAAGCCACAATATAAATAGGAGGCATCTGGGGCATAGCAGTTAATGCAGCTATGTTCTAGCCAAGGTACAATCTTTCTCGCCCTAAGGGAAAGACTGTGGGGCAATATGATACCCGCCTAGGCTTTTACTGACCTAAATATACTTAATTTGGGACCAGTGGTGCAGTTTCCTATTTAGTTGGATGGGATGCTAGCCCCTCCCTATCTTTGAGAGGAAACTTGGTGAAAAGCAGAGAGAACATGGTTTGCACCATTTATTTTGGAAAAAATTATGCTCACCGGCTCGATAAAGCAAGATACAAAACTACACCACCTGGGACGTCAGGCTACTGCGTGATTGGGGCTCGGAGGCCAATGCAACAGGGGCGGAATAATCATTTCCTCCTCACAGAGCGATCCAGCCGTACGAAGTAAGAATCGCTGCATCTACTCGCCGGCGTGGAGTCTGATACAATACTTTCCTCAGTTTTGACACTGAGCTGGATTTATACATTGTATTCATCTTCACTACCAACCAGCCGCGCTATCACGGCTCCGGACGCGGAGAGTCCTAAAAACGTCGTAAGGCTATATAAATGGCGCGCACGAAATAGCAGTATTCAACGACAGGGCCGATGCAAGTAATTTATCGGTTTTGATATTGCTTTCTTCGGATTTTTATGATTTTGCTAAAACATGAATTGGCAAAACCCCACTCAAACAAAATGTAGATTTTAAAAATGCAAATAATCATCTAAATACAAAACCAAATGTTCTATTCAACGGAGAACAAGAGCACCTGCTTTAGGTTTATAATCAAATGATGATCCCGTGGCGACGCTCTCTAGATCGATAGAAAAAAATCATGTTTTTGCTTAACGTCCCTTTCATGCATTTTTATCGCGTATTCAGCTAGACTCGCGAAGCCGTGGTTTTCCGTGTACTCAAGCGAGTGTTTGGAATGGTGTTTGACTTCATCATTCCACCTTCTATACAAAGTCCATTTTTGATAGCTTCTAATGCAACTTTAATAAAGGTACTATTTAAAAAGATTGAAAAGTCATTCTTAATCAATGTATGATTAATTCACGCTATATTTCGAAGTACATGCTAGTGTGACATCATATACTTTCGTAACAACTTTTAATGTGTTGCAGTGATTTGTGCTGTTGTTTGGAGCACGGGCTCGGGCCCGGCGTCTGAGAGCGTCGGTGTCGTTGTTGGATGGTGGTAGGTGGGTTAAACGTGTGCTGGTGAGCAGCGGCTGTCCTGGGCACCGAGTGCTTTGCAAGGAAAGATTGTGTGTGATGTGGTAGAGAGATTTGGCTATAACCTGCAAGCAGCACCGCTCGTTTAGTCGTGTGAGCGCTGCACGCGATGCTGTCGAAGTTTCAAGAACAGCTTCCCTTTATCTGACGTTGCTCACAGAGTACAATTTTTTGCATTCTTCCCAGTGTATATTTGTGTCTTGGGGCTAAAAACACCAAGAAACACCCAAGTTTCAAACACTGCATTCAGCTTAAATCTTGCTAAACAACACCTGATGAGCGTGCGAGCACGTGCATCAGCATGCCACTGCGCTTCTCCCAGTGAAGATGGCATGCCTTATCAGGATGTCACGGTCGGGCCCTGACAGCCGGTTCGTTGCCGGCACAAAAAAACACGGAAAACCCCAGGGCCGTCAATCGTTCCCACCGGCTGAAGACGCCGAAGCGATCCCTGTACAGCGATGCATATCAGGACAGTGGACTTAAGTGGTAAACCGAAGTCATTGGTTACCTCTGTACAGCAAGTGTTCAGCCCCGTGTCGTTGGTATAACAGCGCGCCCCAAGTTCATCAGTGTCCTACATCAGTGTCCAGGTTTCCTTACCTTAGAAAGATAGGTCTGTCAAAGATAGGTCTGTCAGGTCTGTTAAAGTTATCGTCTGTTGTGAGTTATGGTCCGTTCTCAGTTATCAGTTATATTCAGTTTTGGTGATTATTTTATTTCACCTTGCGAAAAGATTATCAGATTTGTCTAGAAATGGTGTTGCTGAGAAAACCAATGATGACGGAATGTTTATCCGAAGTCAATTGAGATGTAGCTCAAGTTGAATCTAGCACAGGTAATCCATGCCCTGACAACACATCGTAAACATGGCGCTTTTTGACTAAATTTGCTTGTGCATGTTTTATCAGTGCTGGCACCGGGATAGTCCAGCTGGATCCATTTACATGCATCTCTGGAATCACCCACCACCTCAAGATTCGCGATTTTTACAGTTGTAAGAGTGGCTGTCAATCTTGACTCGGCGTTGGAAACAAAGCACTCAGCAATGCTCGAATATGCCAGGTTTTCTTTAGAAAATGACAGGAACTATTTGGAGGTAACGGCTTTCATCCGTAATGTTTATTCAATAATTGCGAGATGTTTGGCAGTGACATAGCGTGTGACGTTACACAGGCTCAAAACATTCGCAACGTTTTCTTTGTAAATCTGCTACCTACACTTTAAACTGTCCAACTTATATTTTTCGGCCCCTGCAAACACCTGTTTGCTGTTGATGTAACGTGACATAGGTCAAGGGCTATGTCAACCGAACCTTAGCTGACAAATTTAAAAAACCTTAACTTTCTCCTACGCTTAACCTGAATTTAATAGTACCTTAAAACAAGTGCACATTAAACTATTCGATAACCTTGATATCCTTGATATCCCCATCCAATCCTCAGGACTAAAGGCATTTCTTGATCGTTAAGCGCAATACCCCATATCATTGTGGCGATCCGAAAAAATTGATTCCGTTCTGGCCCACATTATGTATATCTTTGCAAGCGGTTCCGTCGTACAATACGAGCTTTGCGATGATTACAATGCGGGATTAGGCGTGTGGGTTTTTTCGACTTGCCATGCTCCTGGCTCAGCGCTCCTCTTCGCTGCAGCTGTGGAACTTGCTCACAATGACTGCTATTGGGAGAGCCATCATCACGCAGCCAAAGCATGCGCACATGCTGCCGAAGAGCTTGCCGGCGGGCGTTTATCGGGGTGATGTTCACCATAGCCGACAGTCGTCAAGGTAGCGACGGCCCACCACATGGCTTCCGGTATGGAGTCCATGTAGGAGTTGACAGGCTCCACCCAGAAGACGAGGCAGGCGAAGAACACCAGGGCGGCGACCCACACAGCACAGAGAACGCCGAGAAACGGAGCCGCCGCCGCCAGGGTGCGCTTGAGGGTCACACCCGCTGCCGTGTCGCGGACAAACCTGGAGCGCAGGGGTCATAACTATCATTCGAACGTGATGGCAGCGCAAGGGTCATGGCTATCATTCTAACATGATGGCAGCGCAAGAGTCATGACTATCATTCTAACATGATGGCAGCGTAAGGGTCATGGCTATCATTCTAACATGATGGCAGCGCAAGAGTCATGACTATCATTCTAACATGATGGCAGCGTAAGGGTCATGGCTATCATTCTAACATGATGGCAGCGCAAGAGTCATGACTATCATTCTAACATGATGGCAGCGTAAGGGTCATGGCTATCATTCTAACATGATGGCAGCGGCCGTCAGCGTACCCTCAACTAGACCAAATCAATTGGTTGTTGGAAAACTCTCACAACGTCAAGTGTGTGCTCATGTAAGTATCGTTTGTTCGCACGTTACCATACTTATCGTGAAAATGTCAGCTTGGAAAACGTCCTTAAATCAAGATACATTGCTCCTCACTTTCAAAAGATAGCCTTCACGATTGTCCCACGCACCATTCATGACACTGCCACATGAGTGGACATTGTCCAATATAACAAGCCCTGCCCCGACCCCTGACCTTACACAGACCCAGCGGCTTCTCACCTGAAAACGCGCAGCGCGCGGGCCAGCCGACACAGCCTACCAAGCCACCTGACGGCCCCAGTGGGACGTACTGACGTGCCCTCCAGCGCCAGGAAGACGAAGAAAGGCACGGTGATCAACAGGTCCAGCATGTTCACTGGGTCCAGGAA